GAGAGAGACAGCGAGAGCAGGAACACAAGCAGGGGGAGTGGGAGAGGGAGAAGCAGGCCTCCTGCCGAGCAGGGAGCCCAATGTGGGACTCGATCCCAGGACCCTGGGATCATGACCTGAGCCGAAGGCAGACACTTAACGACTGAGCCACCCAGGCGCCCCTTTCTGAACTTTCAATAGTTAAATTAAGTCTTTGACTTTATTTTCAGCTACGTTGAAGCCTGTGAAGAGGGTAAAAGAATGCATTTTGTCAAAGCACAGCTGAAACTAAGACTTGTTCTTGTCTAGGTATTTGGGTTTCAGAGCTGACTACTAATCATGGATTTACAAGGATTCTTGGTAAAAATACATTTATTTCCTAATGAGAGAGACCTATCAAAAACAGTCACATCCATTATAACACTGAAACAAATGATTGTTGCCTGCAGCTTTACTTATAATTAACATAGGCCTTTCTTTAACATTCCAGAGGACCAGACTGGGACACTGAATTATATGATGAAGTGGGTACGACAGTCCGAGAGCTGCTTACTGAACTGTATGGCAAAGTTGGAGAAATTCGTCACTGGGGCCTGATCCGATACATCTCGGGAATCTTAAGAAAGAAGGTGGAAGCACTTGATGAGGTACTATAAATTCTTCTTGAATTTATACCAAGTCTAAATGGAGGTGCTTTTTAAAAATTGGTTTCCATAATTGGTTTTTAAGGCAACTACAGCATCTAATCATTTGAGATGTTGTCTTTCCCGCATAAAGTTCCTGATATTCAATTAGCTTTTTGTTTGTGAATGTCAAATATACAATACTGAAGTTTATAAATGATAAGATGTTATAAACGATAAGAATTCTACAGCTCAAGAATGAATTTGCAGTAGGCTAAAAGTTCTTACCTCTTAGGAGATAAAAGATACCTCATTGTTTCTTCTTAAAAATCTCTCTCTTCTGATCTACATGGTATTTCCTGAGAAAGAGGGTTTGGTGTGTCAATAAATTAAGGGGAAGCAAAGGTCTGTGGACTGAGAAGAATAACTGTCATGGAAAGCTGAGGTGTTATGGGAAGGATAATGCTGTTATGCTATCTCTTCTTAGGCCTGCACAGCTCTTCTCTCCCACCAGAAACATTTGACAGTGGGACTCCCTCCAGAACCTCGAGAGAAGACCATCTCTGCGTGAGTATGGTTTTTGGTTGGGTTTGATCAAGCTTCTCTGAGCCTTTCAGGAGCTGTGTGGACTAACCACAGTTCTGTTGCCCTAATCTGTCACTGGATGATAATGGCCTACCTGTGTGGGCTTCTGTCAGAGACACTTGGCATGAGAATGTTGATAATGACAGGGCATGAGTAAATGAAAGAGTAAATCCACAAGAAGTAGTACGCAAATGTAGTTTGCTTTTTACGGGTTTTTTTGGTGGTGGTGGTGGTGATGGTTTTTGTTTTTGTGCTTGTTTTTTACTTACCCTCTTTCCCAAACCTCACATCCAAAAGCAGTCCAAAACAGGGCGGGCAACTAGAATTAGCACCCACAAAAAATCCGCTATACTCTAGACTTTCTTCCAGGCCTCTCTCTTTGGCTTTTAGGTGGCTGTTTGCTCCCTATGTCTCTTCACATTTCTTCCCTCTATATGTGTCTTTGTGTCCAAATTTCCCAAATTTTTATGTAAGAACACTAGGCATAAAGGTTTAGGGCACACAATGACCTTACTCTAACTCAATTACCTCTGTAAAAACCTCATCTCCAAATGGGGTCACACTCTGAGGGACTCTGGGCTAGGATTTCAATATATGAACTTTGACAGAACATAATTCAACATAGTGCCTTACTCTGAGCAAACAGAACCTTCTTATCACAAATCAGATCAATTTTTGCCACTACTGTGGCAATCCAAAAGAAGATGGCATTGTCCATGCCCCATTCCTCCAGAGTGCTTAGTATCAACAGGAGAGTCAGAAGTATGGGAAGAGGTTGGCATACCCCTGTGTGTGTGTGTGTGTGTGTGTGTGTGTAAACTGATGAAACTAGAAAATCAATGTAACTAAGGTGTGATCATAAAGTAATAAAATGGTTTCCAGAAGGCACAGCTTAAATTAAGTTTATTACTTTCTGGCCATAATAGTTACTTGTCATATGTTAAGAATTAACCATGAAAGACTGATCTGGAAGGACCTCATGGGGTGAGTTTTAAATAAAAGTTTGAAGGAGAAGGGCAATCCAGCTTCAGAGAGGAAAGGGTAGAGCTCTCCTGAGTTGATATAGGCCAAAGTGGTTTGGGGAGGCAATGAACTTTAAAGACTGAAAGAACCAAATGCTACCAGCTATGATGGGACGTTGAAGTGGTGACTTGGAGCTGGGAGGAGATTTTTTATATTCTCCGTGTATTTAAGCTTAAATAGTCACAGAATTTTGTCTTTCTTCGCGGTCTTCTCCCTCAGACCTCTGCCCTATGAAGTGCTCACTCAGCTGATAGATGAAGCCAGTGAAGGGGACATGAGCATCTCAATCCTTACACAGGTGAGCAGAATTATGACGTCTAAAATGGTGATTGATATTTTTGTTTTCAATTGATCTGGCAGTTTCCAAAGCCTACCAGGTAGGCTTTGTGAGACCTGGACCATATTTGTTTCTATATTCATTCCATGCACAGGAAATAATGGTATATCTAGCCATGTATATGCGAACTCAGCCTGGTCTCTTTGCTGAAATGTTTCGACTTCGAATTGGTCTAATCATACAAGTTATGGCAACAGAACTGGCCCACTCCCTTCGATGCTCAGGTACTCCTTTCAGTAACTATTTTTGGCAGAATTCACTTTTAATGTAGGGCTATTGAGTTTGGGATCGGGAGGCAAAGAAAGAGAAAACATTTTATCAGTAGCTCAGAAGCTGCATACAGTCAACCTCTATTTATACAAACCACGAGACTGGTGTTATGACAGATTTATGTATTCGTTCTGCAACTTCACAATTCCACCTCTTGGGGGCTCTGCACTCCAAATTACATGCCTTCCAACTCCTAGCATGAGCCTAAGTGTGCATCGAATTTAAGTGGGACAGACTGGGTTTCATTCTGACTCAAGCAGTGAAGCTTCTTTTTTTTTTAAGATTTTATTTATTTATCTGTCAGAGAGAGAGAGCACAAGCAGGGGGAGCGGCAGGCAGAGGGAGAGGGAGAAGCAAGATTCCCGCTGAGCAGGGAGCCCAATGCGGGGCTGGATCCCAGGACCCCGGGATCATGACCTGAGGCAAAGGCAGACGCTTAACCCACTGAGCCACCCAGGCGCCCTGGTAGTGCAGCTTCTTGACCCCAGATTAAGTCGCCACATCAGTTTGATCATATTGTCAGTATTCTGTCTAGTCAACAACAGGATCGAATAAAGGAACACCCTATTTCTATTGATATTTACCTAACAGGACTCTCTTTGAAATTAACTGTAGGTGTATTTGGCAAGGTAACAGGTTTAGTTAGAAGAAAAGCGGGGGCCTGTGGAAGCTGCAGCACAAAATTGTATAAAGTGTGAGGGAGGGAAAGGGACCCCCGTGGCGTGACTATTTTTTTCCATTGGTATTTGTTTGATTTCAATAAGAATGGTAAAATTAAATAGAGATAGAGATTGCATACAAAAATGAAATTAGAGTTGCAAAACTCAATTTTAGCCATTATTTCTGTTACCTTTCCCCGAAAGGCTTTTAATTGAGCTATTAACAAGTAGCTAAATTTATTGGCTTAAGTCTAACCTGAATTACATAAGATAATTTATATTAAAATAACCCTTTGAAGGAAAAGAGTGAATGATTATGTTCTATCTACCATATGTCAGACTCTGTGCTTTTTTGCTTTATATTTACAAACATTATCTCATTTAATCCTTATGACTACCCTCTGGAGAAGATATTTTTGTTCCTCTTTTAAATAAATCATCTGAATCTCAGAGAGATTAAATAACTTGCCTAAAGTTACATAGTAACTTTACTTGCCTAGTAAATAGTACAATTTGAGTCCAAGTCTGCCTGATTCCAAATGATTTCCAGTTTAGCACATTGTTATGGATTACATGTATTGCATTATACACACACACACACACACACATATGTCTGTATATACACATATATATATATTCTCTAGCTATGGTATGCAGGGATGTTTTATTAGGGTCTAATTATTTAATAATAAACCTCAACAAAGAAAAAAAAACCAAACATTCTTCACTTTCCTTTAATTGCCTATTACTGATCTTTTTTTCCCTGTGGCTTCATCAAAACCAAGGCCCTTTACTTCTCATACAATAAAGTCAAGATCCCTGGTTCTGATATTCAAAACCTCAACAACCTTACCTCCTACTTTCACAGTATTTCCCACTAATTTTATCAGTCACCATCCTTGGAGATTGATGTCTCCTCTGATTTCCAAAGCATTTATTGTCTATACTTCTCATTTGGTACTTAGTACTAACATGTTTTATTATTGTTTATCTTGTTTACATGTGTAATCTGTCCCAAATAGCTGTTCAGCTTTTCAAGGTCAAGTACATGTCGTAACTGTTTGTTACTAACATTGTTTAAAGTTATGACCTACATGTAGTAAGCTCTTAATAACTGTGATTATTTTTTATCTTTTTCAAGTTTTTATTTAAATTCCAGTTGGTTAACATCCAGTGTAATATTAGTTTCAGGTCTAGAATTTAGTGATTCATCACTTAATATACCACACCCAATGCTCATCACTACAAGTGTACTCCTTAATGCCCATCACCATTTAACCCATCCTCTCTAGTAACCCTCAGTTTGTTCTTTATAGTTTAGAGTCTGTTTTCTCTCTTTTTCCCCTGTGTTCATCTGTTTTGTTTCTTAAATTCCACATATGAGTGAAATCATATGGTATTTGTCTTTCTCTGACTTATTTCACTTAGCATAATACTCCCTGGCTCTATCCACATCATTGCAAATGGCAAGATTTCATTCTTTTTGATGGCTGAGTAATATTCCATTGTATATATATTCCACTTCTTTATCCATTCATTGGTTGATGGACATTAGGACTCTTTCCATAATTTGGCTATTGTTGATAATTCTGCTGTAAACATTGGGGTGCAGGTGCCCCTTCGAATCACCATGTTTGTATCCTTTGGATAAATACCCATAGTGCAATTGCTGGATCAAAGGGTAGCTCTATTTTCAATTTTTTGAGGGACCTCCATACTGTTTTCCAGAGTGGCTGTACCAGCTTCCATTCCCACCAGCAGTGTAGGAGGGTTCCCCTTTCTCCACATTCTCACCAACATCTGTTGTTTCCTGACTTGTTAATTTTAGCCATTCTGACTGGTGTGAGGTGGTATCTCATTG